TATTTTCCTTTATTATTCCAGAGGGGCAATTTGCCAAGAAGGACTATTGATTTCATTTTGGCATATTGCGTCGATTCACGATAAGCGTCATTTCACTTATCAAAGTGTTGCCACCAAATATTATCGCCCCGTATTATATTTAAAGAAATTAGATAAAGAAGGATCTGCGTGAATGTAGGTATGTTTCTAGCATTGTGATAAAACAACGGTACCTAGAGCCATCAAAATTTGAATAACGTAATCTTACGCAGAATATCGGCATGTGGAAGCCCTAATTTCAATTTGAAATTTGTTTTATTGTCAATTTCCTATTTTGTAACACTTCAACGAATTTTGGGTTAACAAACTCAACGATTTCAGAGCGAGCAATGGCAACACTGTAGATAATTTTAAAAAAATTTTATCTTCAGCGCACAAGACTCTATATCGGAAATTCTAAAGATATGCTTGTTTTAAAGTTATTTTGCGATATCTCTGTTGAACTGAATTTTATGGTGAAAGGTTGTACTAAAGTTCAAATCGCAATGTAATGGTTTAATTATATTAAATACTGTACACTTCTATCTTCCAAGTTTTAAAAGAAACAAAACAGAGCGTGAACGAGTGGTGTTTTTCTAATGCCAATTTATTTATTTCAAGTCAGTTTTAGGGCAGGATTTTGGTTTACTTTAATTCTTGGGGTTCTTTGGTGAGCCATGAATTCATTAGTTATCATGAAACGAATTTAGATCTTAGCGGGTATTAGACACAATTATAAGTTGTTTTCAAAGAATATAAAATTTACAAATAAGTTAAAATATAAAAAAGAAAGCATTCAGATAAAAATTAAAATGTAAAAATGTTTGGTTAATTTCTGAGTGCAGAAAAGGGTATTTTAGACGATTTAGGAAAGGGATGTATTTCTTTTGAAGAAAAAAGACTGAATCTAAACTATTTACGCGGCGAAGAGAGAATGAAATTAGTTTCCTGAGACCTCTGGATCCTTCCTTCCTACTTAACTACTCCTTACTTCCTACTTCCTTTGACAAGACAGTTAATCTTTGAAAGTAAAACTTGCATCATAACAAGCTTAAAGACAAGAACTTAGCTAAATTGTTCGACTTCACTCACACTTCGTCTGCAATATTTTCCGAAAAATAAACTGATAAAATATTTCCGTACTCACTTCCATGGATGATGAATAATTTTCCTTCCTTCTGAAAGATGAACATCTCGCTTGCCTGTAACAAGACAGCATATCTTCCTCTAGATCTTGAGTTTTCAACTTACCTGTTTCATGCAGTGAATAGCTAATATTCTTTCATCTACATCAGGAATTTTCAAATTCCGTGCAACAAAATAAAGATTTATTTGACAGTTTAATTCTTTTTCTTACGTTCCTCAACAAATACACACCTTTTTTTCTTCCGTTGCAGTGAACAAGTTCGCGATGGTGAATCTTCTTTGCTAAAATCTCAGATTTAACAGAATTCACAACAGTGAGCTAATATTTTGAAACAATATAATAAAACATTAAAGTCACAAGCACATTTTACAGTGTTTTATAAAATATACCATGCTTTCAAAAATTCTACGCGGCTATAATTCTAAATCAAAACTTAGAGTCCGTTGAAGATACAGTCACATTTCCAGAGGTAGGAGTACGTTCGCGATATTCTCCCCCCTTTTGAGATTCAGAGATTCAAAACTGAACCTCAACAGTTTCTAAAGTCATAAGTTCATTCATTGCCTCTTTTTTCAAGGGATGTCTAAATCGTGATTTTTGAATGACAACATCATTATTTTAAAGAAAGTTCAAGAAGACTTTTCCCTTGGCAAAGACAACAAACGACTACGCTATCTATCAACAGTTACCGATTTAGAAGGATTATTAAGAGGGAAGAGTTTTATGCGAAAAGATAAAACAAAATTTATACTTTCTCTAGTATTACCTTCTGATCACCGCCTTGTTAAAAGATTAATTATGTGGAAACGTCCTCCTACCTCTGTAATTTTAAAAGACATTAAGTTTCGATTTTGATTTATAGCCCAGCAGAATTGTTGAGTGCGTAGTACAGTTTGCAAATGGCTGTAATTTGTGCTTGTAACTTTAATGCTTCATTAAATGTTTTCAAAATATACTACGCACTCAAAAATTCTACACGGCTATAATTCGAAATCAAAACTTAAAGGCCGGTAAAGTTACAGTTACAGAGGTAGGAGAACGTTTGTGATATCACTATTGCACAGCAAAGTAATCTTTTGTGCCTAATCAAGACCTACTATTGGTTTGTCGAAAACTAAATGATAAACAAGAATGAAATTTATTGCTCTAAATATTTCTGTTTAAATGTTCATGCATTTACTTAGCCCTTTTGCTCAAGGGTCAGAAGTCCATTTGTAATACTTGAGCAAACTAATAAGAGCAAAAGTTAACAAACTGTTGTTACATTTGGCCTCATTTCTTTCTTCTTTTCCCTAGAATTAGGATTAGGAATAGAAATTGCCACCCGTATTTGTTGTAAATTCTAATTAGCTGAAATTTCATAAAACTAAAATTATACCAAATTTTTACCATCAACAAAATTTAAGTACTTGGAACAGTTTTTTTATATAGGATGAAATAACGATAGTTTCACTTAAAGTTGGCGTTTTCCGAGCAGGCATGCTGCACGGTCACACACATCTTACAGTTTAGGTACAGAAAAATAAGTATTGAAAATAGACTTACATATTCTTTCTTCAAAAACAATAGTTTTAGGGCAGTATATTTGATTCCAATTAATGCAAATTGTCAAATATTATATACAGGCAATATCTCGTTTCTGTGGCATTCATTTTTCTATGATTTTTAGGATGTCATCGAACAGTACTATTTTGAATACTCTTTTCAGCAACTCTGCGTGTTTCCTAAATGACAATAAGCAAGCAAATAAGCTTCAATAAACGCATCATAAAATGAACTTTTCTGACACTCACACACATTTATTTTGTAATAAAATACAGGATTGGCGTAAAGAGAAGCACTGCAAGTACTTTCTTGAGTACATAAGAACTTTCTTCGGTACACCTGGCATCACCTTACTCCACCTAACATCAACTTACTTACTCCTGACATCACCTTACTTACACCTGACGTCACCTTACTTACACCTGACATCCAGAGTTCCTTCATCTGCGCAATGTCGCCTGTCTTGCTTGAACGAAGCAACGTTTCTGAGATTTAACACTTGTTATGTTATCTTTATGACCTATTATACAATTTTATGATACACAGTACTGCATCATTATTTACTATTGCTATTCTATTATAACAGATCTCGACATTTCTCTGTACTACAAAACAATATAGTAAAACAATATGAATACTTTATTATAGACACAATTTATTATAAAATTACTTTGTTAAAAAACAGGAAATCGCAGAATATTTTCTATGAAAAATCTGAGGCAAGTGGTTAGAAAGCATAGAATGTTCCTAATGCTAATAAAAGTGTTTATGATGGAGGAAAGTTCGCAAGCGATATAAAAATTATAAACAAATGTATATTTTTTATTTCAGATGTCCTTAGCAACATCTGAAGAACTTTTTTTTTTTTGAAAAAATTATTAATCTAAATGCTGATGGAATTAAAATATTTCCTTTAATAAATAAAATCAATTCGTATATTTCAAGAGGTAATCATTTTATCTCCTTGGTGCATAGAAAATGTATAACAATAATTAATTCTAACAGGTAACTTTCCTCAGCAATACTGTTTAGATTATTGCATGAACAGCCCATATTCCTTAACCTTGGAAGGAAGACTTTCCAGTAATGTTTTCAAAATTAGATTGTATTGGTCTCATTTTAATTTTGGAAAAGTTCTCATAACTAAACATTTTTTAAGTTAGGTTAATTTATTAAGACAACGCAACTCGAGGGCTATCTGGTTATAAGTAGGGATGCCTTCGTGGAGTATTTTAAGGGACACTGGCTCGTATGCATGTTCACATGGGATAAACCACGAAAACTAACCATGCAGCCTGCCAGTTAGCAGAGATTCGATCTCTGGTCGAACTAACCAGTATTCTGTGGCTTTACCACTCGCCCGCTAATGGATCTAAAAATGTTTTCAGAAAATTGTCCAAGTAATTATGTGGGAACCTTCTGAAAGATTGTTAATTAGCTATAAAGAAAACACTATTCAGACTACTCATTTCTTGTAACGAGGAATTCTGGTTCTTTTATGCGCATTTCTAATAAAATAGTGCAGCTGGACTTATTCTTAATTCATTTTCCAAGCAAATTGAAAGTAATCTTCATGAACATACTGAACGAAATGTAGAAAATATATATTAAGCGATAGTAGTAGCTGATGTACATTGAAAACAAAATAACAAAAATAATATTATACGAAACGAGAAACAGAGTCAGATATTTTACATAAGATTTTTGTCAATCCAATGTTAACTGATTTCAGAATTTTGCTCTATCTTATTTTATATGTTTGAATATTTTATGGAAAGCGTACGATTTATTTATCCGATATTCTCTCACATTATTTTTTATTATTATAAACATTCATAAATCTGAAATTTCATCCTAAAACATAAACTCTTTTAACGAATTTAGCTTGCTATAAAATTGAGTATTTTCAAGAAATTTGGAACTCCAGTTATTGATTTTAAAGAAACCCAGTACAAAATAATATATTCTAAAATGAATTGGGAAATTTCAGCTTTTTATCCTCCAAATGTTTTCGCGAATACTTTATGGAATAAGGATTTAAACTTGTAAGCATTTACCTTTCTTATGATGGATATACGTTTCTTTTGTTTGTATTTATCTTACCGTAAGCACTTTTTATCGAATAGTAATAACACATTTTTGCATTTGCACTGGATTTTCAAATGCAATTATCATGAATATCTATCACGTTTTTAAATTTTAAAAAGAATTGGCAGGCTTATATATGAGTTAGAATTTTCAAGTGTTAACGATAATATATATGGCTTAAAAATATAGGAAAACAACATACCTTTATAGGACAAAGTGAAGTTTCGAAAGCTTTATCGATTATTCTCGATTCGATATTCGATTTGACACGATTAGTTTGGTCTTTCTCCGGAAACAGTCCTGAAATTAATACATTGTAAAAATCATCAGTAAACAAATAAGGTTATAATAAAACACATCATAGAAATATTTCAACAAGCAACATATTCCTTATCCTTCAAGGTTTCTCTCCGTTATAGCTACAGAAAGAAACAAAAGGCACAAGGACAGGAAACTGAACGTTTATTATAAAGTTTACAGAAATACATTTTAAGGAAGACTATTTTTTCCAAACCTATAATCAGCACCCAAACTTTAAGTCAAAAATGTATGTACGTTTGAACATAAAGTCCGTACAAATTCTTATTCAAATCTTGAATAATATGTTTTCTGATTTCTAAATCTAGACTAAAAACTCTTATCAATAAAAGTAACTCGCATGTTATTTTCGGCGTATTTCAAAGTATTAATGGCATTATCTCGTGTATTCACTTATGGTGAAACCGGTGCATAATGGTTCAGATAATGAGGATCCTGCGTTCGATTCCAGCTAAGAAAATAGTTTGCTTTTATGTATTTCTTACTATTAATCTCTTCCTGCTTTCCATACTGAAACGCTGGATGACTGTTTAGCCCTAACATAAGATTGGTCGTTTAGGGATCCTCTGGCCATTCCCCAATCGTCTTTATGTCGGAAAGAATATAAGTCGTTAAACGTATTCTCATATGTGTTCATTTGCTGCAATGATTCGAATATATCTGTTGCGCATATATATATATATATATGAATACTTCAATTCCGGCCCCGGGTGACGGTGAGGTTTCTTTTCAAATAGTTCTCGCTCTTTAATGCCTCCTCATGTCTAAAATATTCGTTTGAAAAATATATTTGTTGTCATTACGAACTCATTAATTTTTGCTTTGCGCTCGTACTTAATCGAGCGTCACAAAACATTGCTCAGACAGTATATAAATGAAAATCGCATTTATTTTGTGCATATTTTTGTAGAGTAAGCACTTAGCACATCCAGCTGACAAGTGAAGTCTCATCAATTTGAATCTCAGCGATGACATAATTCATTTTTCTCATTTTCTAAAAATGACTAGTATCATCGATACTGAATCTCAAGCTAAAACGTGGTGGATAATAGCTCATTAACATCTGAATTTGATAACGATCTGGGTTTAGTTTTCTTTTATTTATTTATTTTTTTTAGTTTTTTTGATTTTTGTACCAGCACCAGTCGTCTTAAACGGGGAAGAATAATTGTGAAATTGTGAAATGTAATCTTTTCTTCGTATCGCTCTTTTGATGTAAATGCAGAAATGACAGAATTTTTAGATAAAGTCTACTTTTAGGAAACGTATTTGAATCAAAGGTTACAATTATGCTACGGAAGATATTCAAATAATCAGAGTCGAATATGTAAGCGTACGCGTGTGTGTTATCAGAGCTATGACTGTGTAGAGGATATAAGCGCTAGAGGGTTTTCCTAGTACTTATGCGCTCGTATTCTTTTACGAGGTTCGCCGTGTTTCTCGCAGGACTTGGATAAATTTCATGAACTATCAGGTAAAATGAGTAGCCACGAACTTATAGATGATGGAAAGAGATGGAGAGTGGTCGGCAAATTGGATACAGACCAGACACCAGCGCAGGTGGCTACAGAGCTCAATATAACGCCCAGTTTTGTCTATAATTTGCAGAAACAGCTTCAGGACACTAGATCCATACCAAAAACACCTGGACAAAGTATACTGCCATTGGAAAGTATATTGCCAAGTTCCACGGTTTACAGTTGCTCGAAGTCTTCTTGAACTACAGCTGTATGCCAGAAGACTCGCTGTTTGCGTCCCGCTCACTGCAGCTCACATGAGAGCACGTTTAGCATGATGTAGACAACATGCGCCTTAGATCAGGCTTCAATATAGCACCGTGCGTTTTAGCGAATTATTATTCAGCCTTGGACACTCATTCTCGGTGTACCTGTATCTGGAAAGAGACTGGAACACGACACCATCCCTAGCTCATCAGGTAAATAATCATTACTGTGGTGGAGATGTAAGGGTTTGTGTAGGCATTATGTTGGACGGCCGCACATCGCTACATATGTTTGACAAAGGTTCCATGACTGCCATGAGGTACAGAGAGAAGATTTTAGAGCCTTATGTTCGACTTCACAAGGCGCAGTTGGTCCGGGTTTCCTATTAATGGACAGCAACGCTCGACCTAAGGCTCGGCTGGTCGACGATTAGTTAGAAAGTGAGAATATTCGCCACATGGATTGGCCAGCCAGATCTTTTCACCCTAACATTATAGAACCTGTCTGGGACTTTCTTTGCAGGGCAATGTTATCTTGCTGTTTCTCTCCGAGAACCATCCTGGAGTTGAAAATTGCCTTGCTGCAGGAGCGAGATCGACTGCCTCAGGTACTCTTAAACTGGCTTCCATCTAGTGCGTTATTTAAAGGAATTTATATTGTTATATAATATAATTTTTTGTGTAATAATATCGTGTGAATAGTGTTAACCCAAATGCGTGTGAAAGCAGTTCTACCTCTTCTAACTTTGGAGAACAGCACAGAGATAAGGTCACTACTACCCTTATAAATTGCCGGCTGAAAGAATTTCACTCGATGCTCCGTTCGAAAAATCTATTTATCCATGATTTGCAACCTTCCCAAAGCAAAGCTGAAGCTGTCAGTGAAACATGCTGTCACACTGGCGACTTGTATGGCTGTCAGAAAAAAGAGTACCATAATCCTATATTAGACTCATTTTCAGTTCGGTATCACAGCGTGGATTTTGGACATCACTGCATTACGAGCTTTACTGATAATCATGCGTACAAAAATGACTTTTGAGTGATACATATCTTTCTCTATTATGTATATTTTTACCAAATTTCATTAAAATCTATGCATTACATTTTCAGAAATTCTAAATAATATGCAAATTCTCTTAATTTTCCACACGAGTATAGTTAGAGAATCCAGCTTGCGTTGAATGATCCACGACTCCAATCCGGAGAGGAAAGAGTTAATATTCACGTTTCCTGGCTCCAAAATTATAACAGCCTCGAAAAGAAGACCTTGAGATTCTCGAGATACTTCTTATTTTCCATAACTCAAATAATTGTATGTCATTACGCTGGTAAATGTTAAACGGAAGCGAATTGATTTGGACTTAATATTCTTTAGTTACTTAATTATGAATCTACAGCTATACGATTAAAATTGAACTCCCATATTAGTATGTGGTTCCTAAATTAATTAATACTATTTCACTTGTTGGTAATTATGTCATAATTAATTAATTCATGATTAATTACCAATAAGTGATGAATTACAAATAATTAATTAATTTAACTCTAGTTAGTCTGTGAAGTTCCCCCGAATAATTCGAACGAGAAATGCTTTTCAGAATCTGGGCTCGTGATCTTTGAGACAGGACCAGAATGCCAGAGAGGACAAAGCATTAAAAATAATATAAAAAGACAGCTAAGAGAAATAGACTTGTTTACTGAGGCGAGCAAGAGATAGCTGGACTTGGGACTGAAGAGAGAGATGATTTTATGTGTGTGGCAAGAGATGAAAAGCCACATACAATACAATGCCTGACTGAATGTAAAATTCATAACTTACTGGAATATATTACTTAGATGGAAAATGATACCGTGAGTAATGTAAATGGAATTCCAACACGGGTAAAGTTATCACAAGGAATAATTAACACAGGTGAAGTTATTTAATCAAGCCGAACCAGTTAGGCGAGTTCAAGTTTTTTTTTACTGATCTACTGTAATTTACTGAAAAGCAGCATTAGAAGCATTCATTTTTATTTATACTGCAATGTAACTAAAAAAATATTTTAACTATAATAAATAACTCCTTGTTATTTTTTCTGTGTTTTACTTATACATGAGAAGGAAACGCTGTTATCAAAAGATTTATTTCGAATATCACCTTATTCGATTAAATAACTTAACCGTAATTAACAGAACCTCAGTATTTATTACGATTACTTACAGTTTTATGTTAATACGTTCCCAAAAGCTGCTCTTTTAAAAGAGAAAAACTCTAATTACAAAAACTCTATGAGTAAGAGAAAAGCTCTTCCAATAATTTGAACTGAAATAATATCTCATTCAGAAAAAGAGTAAATATGAACGTAACTGACACACATTTTGCGCTAATTACGTCAAAATCTCACTCTATCCATAAATAAATTCTGACACCTTCTTTTAATTTCCTTTCACTTCTTTTCGTACTTTTTACTGATTTTTTTGAACTGATTTTCTCGAAATCTTAGCCAGTAATTCTAAAAATTCAGTCTTATGTTTGGATATTATTTACCTTTCCTAATTAAATATTTTACTTCTTCCTCATGAAGACCTTACTAATTTCTTCCGTCTGTTATGTAGGCTCGTCTAATTAAATGTTTCTTGAATGCTTCTTTAAGAATTATGAAGAAAAGTAAGATTAATTTCTCAAAAGTTGAGTGAATCAGCCTTTTAACACTTCTAGCTTAATTCGCTAATGAATGTATTTTAGGAACTATTCAAGTGAGAAAATATTGCTCTGAAGTTTAAGGTTAATTTATGGCAGCAAAACATATTTGTATGATATTAGTTCTTTCTTCTTTCTCAGTTTTACCCTTCTTCTTCACAAACTTCTGCGACAGAAAGTTATTATTCTATATGAAATAAAGTATTTCTTTCATCACATTTTCATACATCTTAGCATATAAATACAGGTACTGTGAATCCATATTTATTGAAATGATAAACATATCTACAAAAGAAATAATAGTGAATTTTAAATGGATCAGGAGACCATTTTGATGTTTCACAAAAAGGTTTTAATGTAATCGTTTAGTTCTTGTTCAGTTTTTATGAACTGTTGATAAAAATATAGCTTTATTTATCATTACTTCTCAATAGAAATAATTTCATCTGAATCCTCTTCATCCTTTCATCTGAATAAATCCTCTTATATTTATATCTCCGCCAACCAAAAAAAAAAACTACACGCATGAATGCATGTGTGTCGTAAGAAATCGAAATTATCTGCCGGTGAATC